CAACCAACACTTTCCTTTTCACAGTGAATGCTAAAACAGAACTAGTCGGGATTCAAACAATCTAGGATTGATTTTGTGCAAGTTTTGGATTGCCTACTAATCTAGTTCCTTTTGAACATTGAGCAAATGTAACTAATGCTTCTGATATTGATCATGTCTGTGTTTGGTGGTTAAGGAGAATGGTGTGGTAGGCATTGTTGGCCTCCCTCATCCAGCTCCACCTCTTGCAACAGATGAGGCAAACGCATCGGAGCATGTTGTTCAGCAAATGGTCGAGGAGACTCCGGAACAACCTGCACAACATCACCAAACTACGACTCAAGCCGGACCATCCACCGACAGCTACATATCCCATTTTGAGGCATTGGGTCGGCAGAATGCCCAAATTCTGGAGCAAAATGCAACCATCAGATCATGAGGTCCTTGAGGATTGACTACAAAAAATTCTCAAGACCTTGGGAACTATCTCCTAGGCCAACCGAGGAAAGCAATGAAGAGGGAAGTGAAGAGGATGACGAGGATAATGACGATGAGCAAAACAAGGAAAGCAGTGAAGAGGACAATGACACCAATGAGGAAGAGGGCAGTGAAGAGGACGACGAGGGCAATGGCGATGACCAAAACAAGGGGGAAAATCAAGAGGACAAAGGGACCAATGAGGAAGAGGGCAGTGAAGAGGCCAACGATGAACAAAACAAGGAAAGAAATCAAGAGGACAATGGGACCAATGAGGAAGAGGGCAGTGAAGAGGACGACGAGGCCAACGACGATGAACAAAACAAGGAAAGAAATCAAGAGGACAAAGGGACCAATGAGGAAGAGGGCAGTGAAGAGGACGACGAGGCCAACGACGATGAACAAAACAAGGAAAGAAATCAAGAGGACAAAGGGACCATTGAGGAAGAGGGCAGTGACTCTAGCGAGGACAATGAAGATGAGCAAATCCAGGAAAACGAAGACGAGGACGAGAACACTGACAAGAAAGATGGGCAGTGAAGATGAGCCAACCAAAGTCCTTAGTACTTAGCTATGTGTGTTTGCGTTTGTGCTTGTATGTTTTCCAATTAGAATATGATGATGCACCAGTGTGGGCTACATGCATCTAAACTTAAGCATTAATTAGACAAATTTAATCGTGTTATGGATGCTTGTTTTATAAGACAAATGTAATGCTTTGACTGCTTTTTACTTTTTGTTAACAGGGTATCTCATCTGATATGATGTACAGTTACTAGAGAACATTGTGAATGGATCTATGTAATGCTCGTGTCAAGCTTTAGAGAACATTATGAATCATCTTTTTCATAAGTTTGAAGTTCTGGAAAAAGTCCATTCTGTTTGAAACAACATTATAATAAGTACACGGGATAGTTCCACAGGTGAAAGTCTCCTACTGGAAATCTGACACCTTATACTGGTAATCTCACGACCGTAAAATACTCAAGTGAGATGTAAAAAGCAGTGCTTCATTCCTCAGGCAAATATCACGACCGTGAGATGTCCCGTGAGATGCAAAGAGCAGTTCTCACTATCCCAGGAAATTTCACGGCTACTACTTGACATTGTCACGCCCGTCAAAATCTCACATTCAATTGAAACACACAGCTGCCACTCAAACGTTCTCACAGCTCATTTTGTCAAAATAACAACCGTGGAATTAAGATGTACCTACACTTTCTAGAGTTGTACCTTTACACTAAACTTAAAGTTGTACCTACACTTTCCTAAAAATCTTCTATGGTACAATTCAAAATTGTACCTATACACTATGGTACAACTTAATGTTGTATCTACACTTTCTAACAAATCCCTCTATGGTACAACTCAAAATTGTACCTATACTAATGGTACAACTTTTAGTTGTACCTACACTTTCTAAAAATCCTTCTATGATACAACCCAAACTTGTACCTATACCATGGTACAACTTTAAGTTGTACCTACACTTTCTAAAAATCCTTCTATGGTACAACCCAAACTTGTACCTATACCATGGTACAACTTTAAGTTGTACCATACACTTTCTAACAAATCCCTTTATGGTACAACTAAAAATTGTACCTATACTAAAGGTACAATCTTAAGTTGTACCTACACTTTCTCAAAATTCTTTTATGGTACAACGCAAACTTGTACCTACACTTTCTAACAAATCCCTTTATGGTACAACTCAAAATTCTACGTATATTAATGGTACAACTTTAAGTTGTACCTACACTTTCTAATAAATCTCTTTATGGTACAACTCAAAATTGTACCTATACTAATGGTACAACTTTTAGTTGTACCTACACTTTTTCAAAATCCTTCTATGGTACAACCCAAACTTGTACCTATACCATGGTACAACTTTATGTTGTACCAACACTTTCTAACAAATCCCTTTATGGTACAACTAAAAATTGTACCTATACTAATGGTACAACCTTAAGTTGTACCTACACTTTCTAACAAATCCCTTTATGGTACAACTAAAAATTGTACCTATACTAATGGTACAACTTTTAGTTGTACCTACACTTTTTCAAAATCCTTCTATGGTACAACCCAAACTTGTACCTATACCATGGTACAACTTTAAGTTGTACCTACACTTTCTAAAAATCCTTCTATGGTACAACCCAAACTTGTACCTATACCATGGTACAACTTTAAGTTGTACCTACACTTTCTAACAAATCCCTTTATGGTACAACTAAAAATTGTACCTATACTAATGGTACAACCTTAAGTTGTACCTACACTTTCTCAAAATTCTTTTATGGTACAACCCAAACTTGTACCTATAACATGGTACAATTTTAAGTTGTACCTACACTTTCTAATAAATCCCTTCATGGTACAACTCAAAATTGTACCTATACTAATGGTACAACTTTAAATTGTACCTACACTTTGTGAAACAAATTCTTCAATGGTACAGCTGAAACTTGTACCTATACGATATGGTACAACTCTAATTTGTACCTACACTTGTATACATTGATTCATTATTTACAAGATTGTCATTAATGATGTGGGACCAGTCATTTAGTGGGTTTACCTCCTCAGAAGGTCACTTCTTTTTTTTTTTTTATAGCATGGGTGCTATAGAGCACACTAGAAGTAGGGATGACAACAAAACCCGAACCCACGAGTACCCACCTGACCCAACCCGGTCAACGTGGGTAAAATCCGTGTTGACGGGTTTTGAGCCGGGTTTGGGTTTAAACCCGTTTACTATTCAACGGGTTGGGTTGGGTTTGGGTTTAGGTAAACCCGGCCCGTGGGTACCCGCCCACCCATATAATTAATTTTTTCGGTATATTTAATATTTTAAACAACTAATATTATTTATGTTTGTAGAGACATGTCTAATTTTTTCTTTTTAATTGTGTAGAATGAAGTTGATGTTATGGAGTGGAGAGTAAAGAAACTTAATTGAAAGGAAGAAGCTTTCAATTAAACATGTTATTTATGGAAAATTTGTGATTTGCTTCAATTTTTTTGAGTTTTCTAGATTGGTGTTGAACAATTTGTATAGTTAATTTGTGATTTGCTTGAATTTTCTAGAATGGTGTTTTATATATGGATAATTTGTATTGAGAGATTGATTTTTTACTTTAATTTTGATAAGAACTTGTAATTGTAAATTTTTTACGACAAACCCCGTGGGTACCCATGAACCTGCGGGTACCCAACGGGTTGGGTTGGGTTTGAGTTTTTCAAACCCAGTGGGTTTTACCCCGGGTTTTTTTCAAAAATTAACCCATGGGTTTGGGTTTGGCAAAACCCGACCCAACCCGACCCATTGTCATCCCTAACTAGAAGGGCTCATTGTATAGTAGGGGTGGGCATCGGTTCGGTTCGGTCGAAACCGAACCGAAAATGAGCATACCGGGTCCTCCGATCTCTCTATATGTGAAACCGAACTCGAACCGAAATATAAATCGGTTCGGTTTGGCCGAACCGAGTTATATTTCGGTTTGGCCGAACCGAGTTATATTTCGGTTCGGTTCGGGATCCCGACAAAACCGAAGTTCCACAACTTTCCCCTGCCTTCCTCTTTTCTTCCTCTGCTTTCCACTTTTTTCTGTACGCTACTTCCTCTCTCTACCCAAAAGACATGCATCCTCTTCCTCTTCCACCTCTCCATCTCTGCAACTTCTTCCACCTTTTACCACCACCAACCCCTCCACCAAACCCTCTTTCCGATTCTGGCCTCTCTACTCTCTCCTTCCATCAGTCTCCGACTTATCTCTCTAGCATCTCCGCTCTCCCTCGATCTCCGCCTCAACAACTCTCTCCGCTTATCCCCCTTCTCCGCCGCCACTATCTCCCTCCTCAGTGTCTCTCACTCTCCGGGAAGAATCTGCAGAAGACGAGATCTGTCTCATGCTCGCCTCCGCTCTCCGCCTCCAACTACAAGAGTGCGGCGTCGCCGCTGATTCGAGCGAAGACAGGGACAACAACTTAGAGGGAGAACTCAGCTTGTTCTCTTCTTCGATGGTCGTCAGCCGCAAGTCGCAATTGGAGAAAAAAGGTCGCGATCGGAGGTCAGGGAAGATTCCACCTTCAGTGGGAATGATGATTCTAGTCGGCGGCTGCTAGGGGTTCGATTGGGTTGAGGAGGAGCAGAGATGGGAGTCTATTAGGGTTAGGAATTTAGGGTGGGCTGGGCTCTTAGAGTTAGTAAGTGGGCTGGGCTTGCAGTAGAGAGGGGAATTGGGTGTCTGGGCAGTCATTTTGGGTTGTGAGAGAGTGGGCTTCATTTAAAATATGAGTTGATTATTTTAGTTCGGTTTTCGGTTCGGTCTATCGGAATTCGGGTTCGGTTGGCAGACCCTGGTTTCCGAAACATGAGCTTCTGCCTTCCGATTTCCGAACCAATCAATTTAAATTTCGGTTTCGGTCGGTTCGGCTTCGGTTCTGGTCGGTTCGAAGAGTTGAACCCGAACCGGATGCCCACCCCTATTGTATAGGATGCAGATAAAAACTCAAAAATAGCAGGGAAAAGACAGTAATCAAATTTAATCTCAAGATAACAAGAGAGGAAATGAATTGCATGCAACAGCGTCACTCCATAAATCAAAACCATGTCTATTGCCTCTGCCAAAAAGGAACCAAATAGAGAGGCATCAGACTCTCATTTGTTGGTTACCAAAAAGTTTAAGCCTGGTACGAGAGAAAGAAAAGGAGGGTACAAAACAGGTAAAAGCTTGGGTTCGAACAATTTGGCATATGTCGGACTACCGCCATTGAAATTTATATAACCATTGAAGACAGTTGTCTCGATCAATCCTCATCCGAGTAATTGAACTTGATTGAATGGGAGTGTATGTCAATTTGCCCTCCTCTGTAGCTGCCTCGTTTTTTCTTCGTCTTTTCATGCCTAAAACCCCTGAGAGAGCAGCACGGTAATGGATAACACACATGTTCAGAATGCAAAGCGCAGGATCCTCTTAAATCAGATAATGCAGAGCGGTACCAAACTAACAAAAAAAAATACACTTGCATGCATGTTATCAAAGCAAACAGTGTGCCTTCCAGGCGCTCAAATCAATACGACACCTCAACCAAATAACACGAATGACGACACAACTTATAGAAAATAATAAAGGGAACAGAATTCTTCCTTTTCCATTTTTCTACTGGTTGCAGTCTTGTTGTCTTGGTTATCAAGCATTCTAATCAAAAGTAATTCAGACTAATATCTCTACACTGACTTACCTCCCTTTCACTTGTCCAAGAACTTCTTGTGCTTTAGCGCCATACCCAGTCTCAGCACCATCCTGTGGTGGAAATAGCAGAGGATATCAAATGTCAAAAACAGAGATAGTGTGAACCACTAGAGCACTAAAATCAGGAATAACAAATTATCAACCTTCGCCCAGTATGAATTATCTTTAAGCCTTTCATCAGAGAACACCACCTCCTCGGCTTTCACTCTCTGAAAACGCTGTGCTGTTGTCGGCTGCAAGACGAGATCAATATTGGAAAATGATACCATAGTAACAGGGCAGGGACAAGTGACAAGTGGTTAAAGAGCATCACCATTACTTAGACAAGAGTAGACAAACTCACAGGGATAAGGCACTTGAGACCATACCTCTGATGAGCCATTTTGCAGTTTTTTTGCGGATTTCTGGGTCGTAACGTTGTGTTCCTTCTCGTCTGTGTTTACATGTGGCTGCAGATCATGTGCAGCAGCTTCTGTCCTCTGACGTTTTCTTTCTTCCACCTGGTTACCATCATCTGGAGGAGCAGAATCTTCCTCAGAGGCTAACCTTTTCCTTTTCTTAGCCTCGTTACCCTCTATTTCATTGACCATCAAAGCATTTTTCTCAGTATTTGCACTGCTCAACTTTTGAGAAGCAAGAGAATCCTTCTTTTGTCTCTTCTCTTTGGATTTAGCCCTTTTCTCCAAACTATCGGTGGCAGAATCCAATATAGAATTTGGGTCTTGCTCCCCCCCGGATACAGACTCGCTTTTGGCAGAAACAGGTTGCGAAGACAGTTTTTTGGAGCTTTTCTGCTTAGCTTTTGTGCTACCTTCTAAGTCATTTGTACTTTTCTTTCGTTTGTCCACAGTTTCAGAATCATAAAATTCAGCACTAGCTCCTGATGCCCTTTCTGAGGTATCTGTCTCGTTCTTAGCAGACTTCTTTTTCTTTCTGACATTAACAGTGTCAGCCGAAGCAGAAAATACAAATGTTCCAGCTTTATCAGAACTATGACCAGTCCATAAATCTACAGCAGATCAGAAAACGAAATTGAGAACTGTCACAAAATAACATGCAGCGTGCAGAGATCCTCAGATGACTAAGACACATTGTTAAGCAGTATTGAGTAAGAAACAGGCTCTAGTGTGTGCCTGAATTGAAAGATGAGAGCTCTGACAAAATCACATGCAGTGATTCTCTGATAACTAAGACACATTGTTAAGTAATAGAGAGCAAGACACAGGGCACTAGTGTAAGCCTGAACAATGCAGGAAACTAAGAACAGACTAACAAGGTAAAATCTACTGTCCAGCCACGTAACTTGGGAAAACCAAAGGCATGAAAAACCAAGAAGTTATTGGGAAAAATAAGAAGCCATTTGAAGCTAATACAAGAACAAGATTCAGTAGACACAAAACGAGGAAATGGAGAAGGTAATAATATCCAACAGGTCCTATGTAGTTATCCAACGACCTAAATGACTATAGGTCATAAGGCACCAATAATCACCAAGTCCCTGTACACAAACATGCATTTACATAGGTAGAGCAATAGAACATCAGGCATTTCAATAGAGAAACAAAAACAAAAGAATTCAACAGAACATCCTCAAGTCCCTATACACAATCAGGCATTTGAATAGATTAAAACAAAACAAAAAAACTTTATCAAATCATTATTTGCTAACGCAATTGCATCAGGTAGAGCAATAGAACATCAGCCATGTTAAGCAAAACTAGACGTTTAACAATATGCCCTGCTGGTAAAGAACAAAGAAACAGGAGACAAAAACGCTCATCTGATATTGAAGCAAATTGACTGCTTATTAAATAACAGAAGCTGTAAGCTATATGAAGAGTCTTCTTGCGGGACAGAGAGTCACTTAAGGAGATATAGTCTAGCAAACAAATTTAGTAAGCGTGAATAAAACTGTTGTTTGTACATTGACAGATTTTGATCCCATTGCTTCTAAAAAAAAATTAGAAAAAAAAGCTGGGGCACAGAGCAAAAGATGGAAAAAACCGATAGGGACATGTTTGTGTGATGTTTCGGCATACCTTCCTCCTTGCTGGAGAGGCTCTCAGGTTTCTTGCATCCCTGACCACTGCAGGAAAATAGAAATCACAATCAGCTTTAGAGTGTCGACTTTACTGCTTCAAGTCCATTGCAACTAATTCATATTTCATAAGCTGTCTCCAATTCTACCATGTACATAAAACCATACAATTCACAACTGAGTCAGCTAGGGTATAAACTGTTAGAAAGGCAGAGAACAACCGATAATGTTACAGAGGTAGAACATTTACAACAACACAACCACTTAAGGGTATTGTCAGGCAGCACTTTGAAAACATGTAGTTCCTTCTCAAGTTAGGACGAAATCTCCACCAACATACCTGGTCTCTAAGAATTTGCAAAATATCTCCTCTATGTCAAATGCAGAACCCTCTGAAATATCATTCTGTCACAGGAGGAAGTGAGAATGAATAGAGCATAAAGATGATATCGGTAGTAGCAACACACAAAAACGAAGAGATACATCATAATAATTAAGAATAAAGAAGGAATTGAGAATGAGTAGAATAAGAGTAACTATATCAATGTTCACGGGGCGTAAAGTATTTTTAAAACGACAAAGTAACATCAACCATTCAGATTTCAGAGCGCAAATGAATTCTGACCTCTTCCTCTCCTATAGTTTTCACAAGAGGCCATGACCAGTATCTCTTACTTAGATTAGATAGCGATCCTAAGTAGGATTGAGAGCTCAGAAGGTAGGGCAAAGTGAGAATGGTACCTGGTCCTGGAGTTTGGCTTCAGTACGTAGCTTCTTAAGGGTTTTGGAGTAGCCGGAGCGTTGAAGAAAGAGCGCAAGGGAATGGAGAAGAATAGCCCTCTGGTCAGGATTGAGCACCAATGGAGTCTTGGCTGACATTGAGCTGCTGGTGAAGAGCAACGAGACTGGGCGAGGCTTCAGTGCCAGAAGGGTAGGGTTTATGTTCAATCCTTCTCCTCCCGCTATAGCCCTAGCAGGCTTTTTTGGCATATACCTACCTACGTTACGGGTTCGCTTCCGACCAGAGAGAGAAACGGCGCCTCGTCTTGAAACGAAATGATATTTAGACTCAGAGCGACGATTTTTGAACTAATAACTAAACTAGGGTTACACTACACTTCCAGATCAAACATAAAGAAAAAAGAGAGGGAAAGGACTGATATGGGCTTGTCTCACAAAATTGGACTAGCTTTTCGCGGGAAGAGTTTGGGCCCAACTAGACAGGTTTTAAGTTGGGCGGCCCACCGGAACAAGAAGAGACGGACTAGAGTAGAAAGTATAAAGGCATGGCAGAGCACTGTCATTCCCGATCTTGGAATAAACATCCCTGCCTAGAGTAGTGTCTAGGGAGTAACAATCACAATGGGGCATACGTGTATTTTTTTTTTTTTTTTTTGACAATGAAACATCTTCTATAAATCCAAACCAGACCAGCAGAAACAAACGTTTACAACAAGGGCGAAATCAAATTTGCAATGACAATCCAATCCTGTGGTAAGAGATCAAGTCGGGCATTCCTAGCGACCCAATCCGCAAGAGAATTAAATCGCCGAGGAACGAAGGACAACTTGATCCAAGGAGCCCCCTGAAGAAGAGACACAATCCGGGCCAGGGTCGCACGACATTGCCAAGGCCAATCGCAGGGGTCTTGAGTAAGAGCCACAATCAAGCGTTGGCAGTCGCTTTTGATACACGTCGGATAGGACTCTTGGGCCACCAACACCACAGCACCCAGAATAGCAAATGCTTCTGCCTGAATCGGGTAGGAACAATAGAATCTCTCCGCCTTGCCGTCAATCACCTGACCGTGGGCATCAGCAATGGTAGTCCCACAAGCCGCCAACTGAGACTCCGAAACAAAAGAGCCGTCACAGTGCACAATTCGTTCAAAAGGGCCAGGCGGTGGTGAGGGGTTTCGACGGGATCCCCTAGGCTGAGAATGACAACTAGCTGATCTCAGGATCGAGGACAATGAGGTTGTCTCTCGAGCTTCATTGATGTTCATGAATTCACGATTAGCTAAAGTCGCCGTGATGGCTGGGGAAATAGCCCTACTTTCAAAGATGAAATCATTTCGAGCCTTCCAAATACTCCATAAACAGCAGACAAGGCGGGCAATCTGCTCATCCGGCATATGATCCTTGAGGCTAAAGAACCACTCTGCAAAGGACATATCAGGATCAGGAAAGGTTGTCAGTAAACCACAAAGTAACCATGTGTTATGAGCATGCTGACAATGAAAAAAACAATGGAGAACAGTCTCATCCTGATAATTGCATAATGGGCAGGTGGAGGCTGGAGCACACTCGCGCGAGAAAAGGCGTGCTCGAGTTGCAATAGCATTCTTCGAGCTTTTCCAAATGAAGAACCGGAGCTTGGGAGGAAGTGAAAGTGACCATAACCACCTCCAATCCTGTCTATTAGGTCGAGCTCCATCATCATTGACAGGATGAATACTTCTGTCCCTCGCTTCCCGAAAGGCTCTATAGGCTGATCTCACTGTGTAGGAGCCTGACTCGGTGTACCTCCATATCCACTTATCCTCCGCCTCCGAGGGACCAATTGGAATTCTCATAATAGCCTGAGCCACCTCTTCAGAGACCTCTGCTCGAATAGCATCGGAATTCCAACTTCGAGAAGAGGCAACAATCCAATCACTGACCTGAGATGGTTCCAGCTGCAGGTTGGATAGTGAAAAGTTGGGAAAAGAAGGTACCCATGGGTCCTTATGGAAATTGGTTCCCTCACCAGACATAATCCCTTTAATCAATCCAATCTTCATCTTATCCTTCACATCACAGAAACCGTTCCAAATCCATGAACCGTTTCTACCCTTATTAGCTGAGTAAAGGTCCCCATTAGCAAAGTAAAGTCCTTTTAAGAGCTTGACCCACACAGCTTCCGGGTTATCCAACATCCTCCAAATTTGTTTCCCGATCAATGCCACATTCATAAGGTGGAAATTTTTAAAACCCAAGCCTCCCTCCTCTTTTGGCTTTTCCAGAACTCTCGCATCACACCAATGAATGGATTGCTTTTTCATAGAGCCCGACCAGAAGAAGCGCTTAAGAATAGAATCCATCTTGTTTGTCAAGGATCGAGGGAGGAAGAAAATACTCATGATGTAAGCCGGAACAGCCTGAATAACAGCCTTCAACAGTACTTCTTTACCACCTGGGGAAAGGAGGAGGCTCTTCCATGATTCTCCAATTTTCTCCATTCTTTCTAGCAGAAACATAAAGGTTTCTTTTTTTGACCTCCCCCACTCCGTAGGAACACCGAGATATTTATCATGACAGATAGAAGGAGGGAAACCAAACTTGTTTGCCACTAGGGATCTTAAAGCATTGGGAGTGTTCTTACTGAAAAATATTGATGACTTCGAAGCATTGACCTCTTGTCTTGTGATCTTTCCATAGTTATGTAAGATTTTCTGAATTTGTTCGGCTTCATTCACACTAGCCTTCCCAAAGATAACGGTATCGTCTGCGAAGAGACAATGTGAAATACGAGGGCAATCTTGATTGAGCTTAATTCCTCTAATGTCACCTCTAGAAACCCCTCGGTCGATGAGGAAAGAAAAGGCATTAGACATTAAGATGAAGAGGAACGGAGAGATTGGATCTCCTTGCCTTATTCCCCTAGTCGGAGTGAAAGGCTTCGTTGGGCTCCCATTCAGAAGTATCGAGAAATTGACTGTGCTAACACAAGAGTTGATCCATCTCAGCCACTGGTCAGAGAAACCATAAGCTTTGAGGATCAAATTAAGACATTCCCAATCAACCAAGTCATAGGCCTTGCGCATATCCAATTTAACCATCATATCCCAGTCACCATTCCGCCGATTCTTGAAATTGTGAAGGATTTCGTGGACAATAATAATGTTGTCTTGTATGAGTCGTCCACCCGTGAATGCCGCTTGCATCTCAGAAACCAACATAGGCAACCATTTCTTCATCCGACTTGACAAGATTTTTGAAATAATCTTGTATCGGAAATTACAACAGCTTATAGGTCTAAACTGAGTAATCCGATCAGGGGTTTGAATTTTAGGGATAAGAGCAATGTGAGTATCATTCCATCCCTGTGGCATCACTGCTGTTCGGAAAAACTCAAGGATTTCCTTACAGAAATCAGGCCCGATTTTTGTCCAGTATTTCCTAAAGAATAATCCTGCAAAACCGTCCGGTCCTGGTGATTTCGTGGGTCCTAGATCAAACACAACAGCTTTAATCTCCTCAAGAGTCGGGTCTTTGCAAAGGTCCATATTCATTTCATCAGTGACAATTCTTGGGAACTCTTGGAGTGTCGAGCCATCAAAATGATTATCTTTGGTAAACAAAGCTTGGTAGAAATCAATAATGTGGTCTGAAAGCTCATCCGGACTCGAAAGGATATTGTCAGCATCATCCTTAAGAGAAGAAATCTTGTTCCTTTGTTTCCGAAAGATGGTGGAGGCATGGAAAAACTTGGTATTTTGGTCTCCCTGTTGGAGCCAATCGACTCCAGATCTTTGGCTCCAAAAGAGCTCTTCATCCTTCCAAATTGCAGCAAGTTCGTTCATGAGAGCTTTCTCCTCTTCCACAATGTCATGTGAACGTTCCAAGTTCAGGATTTCTTGTAGTCTTTGCTGAATTTCATCTGCCCTCTTATTTTGGTCACAATGCATCTGTTTAGCCCATTCTTTTAGTTCCTGTCTGCACTTAATAATCCTTTCTTGACAAGGACCATTGCCTTCCCATATGCGGTTAACAATAGCATGACACTCCTCCCTTTGGAGCCATCTAGCATCAAATCGAAAAGGGGTATTGGTTTTCAACTTGTTGCTGTCAAATTCCAGTCTAAGAGGACTGTGATCAGATTCGATGGGAAGCTCGTGGAATAAACTGGCATTACTGTAGAGCGCCAACCAGCTCGTAGAGCAAAAGGCTCTATCAAGCCTTTCTTCGATTCTTCTCTCACCCTCCTGGTTATTCTTCCACGTGAAAGGATAACCTTTAAATCCCAAATCCATTAGCGCATTTTCAGCTACAAAGTTCTTAAAAGGTACAACTGAGTCGTTCCTCAGGACTCCACCCCCCTGTTTCTCATCCGAAAATAAAATGGCATTCATATCCCCAATAACTACCCATTTGTCCTCTACACTAGCTCTCAGGTTCCCAATCTGAACCCAGAAATCCCTCCTAGCAGCAGGGTCTGAAGGAGCATGAACAAAAGTAACAAAAAAACCCCACTGACATCAACATAAACATCAATAAAATGGCTACTACTATCTAACACTTGAATACTGATATTCGGCACCCACCAAAGGGCCAAACCACCAGCCCGATCATTAGGACAAACGTAGAACTTCTCAGCAAAACGTAGGGATCTTCTCTTGGTCTCCATATAAGACTCCTTCTTCTTTGTTTCGGACAGAAAGACAAAAGCTGATGGGGCATACGTGTAGCTGTTGCATTATGTTAACCAGACACGTAGCGTGAGGAAAACTTGCCAGAGCTCTCCAGCCCTCTTACATTATGTTAACTGGACACGTAGCGTGAGGGAAACTTGCCAGAGCGCAGTGGGAGAGCTGCCTTTGTGGCCTGAACTGCCCGATATTCAATAGCTTGTTTTTCTTCTTATTTATAGCATGCAGGATGAGGTTAGATAAAAATATAAGTTGGGTCTATGGAGGAAGTAAAAAGAGAAAAGAGAGATGATGAGCCGCAACAGTACTGGAAGGAAGAAGAGAGGGATGAGGATGGGAAAGGCCGGCAGCTCTTGAAGAAGAAGACTAGTTCTTCAGCTGCCGGCCGGCAGGAAAGCAGCACTAGTAGGCCCAGTAAAGCTGAAGACGATGACCATTCATCATCGCTTGGAATGAGGAAGATAATAAGGGAATCCGTTGTCACGGCGGGAGCTCCGGGCAGCGGCAGGAGCGATGAAGAAAGTAGGGCAGAGCAACCAGAGGATGTTCTGGTCTTCTCCAGAGCCACTAATAACATCGACTCTTCACTACTTTAATTCATGGTCATGTCTTCCGATTCTACCTTACCACTGCTCTCCATATGAATTGAATGTACGGTTCAATTATTACAAACATGTAACATAGTGGAATAAAATCGATAATTAACATTTTTCTAGAAATTCCCGTTATTGAAATTAACTGATTTATGATATAGTATCAGTCTCGTTTATGACCTAGTATTAGGTGGTTAAGTAGTCGTTTGTTTGAATCTCTATTAATTTATGTACATAGATGACTAATTAATAATTTTCTAACTACTCAATTTTGAAATTAAGTTATTTATGACCTAGTATTAGTTTAATTTGGTTAAGTAGTAGTTTGTTTGAATCTCTCTATTAATTTATGTACATACATGGCTAATTAAAAATGTTCTAACTACTCAATTTTGGAATTAAGTTATTTATGACATATTATTAGAGTGAGTTTGTACATACATAGCTAATTAATAATTTTCTAAGTACTCAATTTTGGAATTAAGTTATTTATGACATATCATTAGAGTGAGTTAGGTTATTTATGTGCGAATTTTTACAATTATTAATTTAATTGTCGATTTAAAAGTACATATATGGCTAATTAACATTTTTTCGCATTTACGTCAAGAATTAAAGTATGATATACATCATTAGTCTGGTGTTTTGAGGAGCGATCTGTAATAACGAACTTGCAAATCGAATCTATTTATCATAAAGAGACTTGTTGTTCCTGATCATGCTTCAATTTCCTTGTTTGAACAAGGATTATCATTTTAATTGTTTGAACAAGTAAACGCTTTCTCGTATGTATGTCTATGGAGTTTTGAAAAATTCAAGCATCTCAGTGATATACAGAGAGGTAGAAATTTTTGAATGAATCGCACTTATTTGGATAAGTTGGTTTATGCCATCGTACTAGAGTTGGTTTGGTCAGATGATTGTAGATACGAATATGTCTCTACAATTCATAATGTAATCGTTGATTTAAGCACATATTGGATGAGCCTGTGCAAATTTTAAGGATATAAGTTGATTTTCATTTGAAGAGTCTACTATACTTATAATACGCTGAAGGGGAAAACAACTTCCCCATTTCAAAAATGTTGCACGTAGAGGAATTGTCGGAGGGGTAATTTCGGTAGCTTTTTCGGATGGAAAATCAAGTCCGCCTGTACCGTAGTGGGCTACTGGGCCGGGCCTTTAGTGTTTTCTAGAAATTGAATTACACGCACCACACCGCAATCTTCTCCGAACGAAGCTCTCACCACCAACATGCTCCCCTCCCATCGACGAACCGCAAATTCTTCTTCCGGTGGGCGTGCATGAGGATGGAACGGAGGCTTTCCGTTCAAAATCCGGGTCCAATGCCGTACTTGCGCCAACTGTCTTAAAGTAGGTTTTCATAGCCAAAATCAACCCTCCGCTTTGAATCACCGACACATTTTCTTCCCATCGAAGAAGAGTTACATAGACCCTGTTCTCCGAATCAAATCAGTTCGAATCCACACATGACTGAGTTCAATTATTCCAATTGGGTGTTTTTCTTTTTGATTACAGAAATGGCATCCGGTTTTGAAGACGCTGGCAGAGGAAGCTGCATTGAAGTTCGCGGGCAAGAATGGGATCGATTTGGTGGCGATCCATCCGGCAACGTGTTTGGGGCCATTGTTGCAGCCTGGACTGAATGCAAGCATTACTGTGTTGAAACATATGCTGGAAGGAGCTAAAGACAGACATGAGTATCACTAGTTGGAGTTGATCGTGTTAAAGATGCGGCCAAGGCACAAGTTTTGCTATATGAGACTCCTGCTGCTTCTGGTAGATACCTCTGCACGAATTGGTATATTGTCTCGATACTCTTAATTGTCGTTAAGTGATCCAATCCAATTCTTTCTATGGGGATTATTTGTTTTTGTCCTTGGGATACGAATGACAAGTTGGGATGGTGGCAATGGTGTTTGATTATCCTGCGGCAGGACAAAATGTTGGTAAGGACTGGACCCAAATGGGGTACGGGACAGCTTGGAGGGAAAAAAGCCACAGTCTTCTGTTATTCGATCCTATGTGAGATAGTTGGATTTTCCAAAATCAGCTGGGTTTCCTACCTTGCCCCTTCTTCCTGTTGTGATGTAATTACGCCAGTCATAGGATGGCCTGCCATGTGGTATTTCACCGTATATTGTTTTTAACTTGGATGAAGCTTGAGTTGCTAAATAATTTAGATCAGATGCTAAATGGTGTCTCGGTTCAGGATAAAGGTCATAGTATTTGTGATTGAGTTTGTTGCGCCAGCTGTATTTTGCATTTTAAGGCCAAAGTTGTTTTCTTGCTGCCCATTTCTTTGTTACTGTTGTGCTTAGTATTGGAAGTTAAATGCTATACCATATGAGTGGAAACTTGGTTGTCACTCCTGTGATCAAGGGATTCACGGGTTCAAACTTCTCTGTTTTTAGTCTCCCCATATTTCCCAATCATTGTATTCCAGTTTTGATGTGTTCCCATTCTCTCTCTCTATGTTCCATCATTTGCTAACTATATTGGAGAAGAGAGATTTCAGTTAAACAAGTAAAATTTCTCAAAGCCGCATTTTTTGGGTTCTCCTCTGCTCTATCTCTATCAATTCTCATTTGTGGTTGTACTTAACTTAGTTTTTTTTATGAAACCAGTAATAATGCTCCTGAATGAATAGCTGCAGTAGATCTTATGTTTAGGTATACAAGGAGTTGTCTTCATGAGATTCTGATACAACCATCTGCCTGTACAAGATTGATACATTTAAATGTGAAGTTAGGTAGTTTTCAAGTTCTTTGTCGCAATTTGTTCCGAGTAATGTTTTCTGATAGTTGCAGAAACCATCAATAGTGTTCTTTTGCCTCCAAGGGTTACAGTAGGCTTTATTGTGACAAATATAATAAAAATGACTAAGGCATTAGAGAGAACCACCCATTTCTATTGATCCACTGTAGTTTTTTTTTTATCATTGCTTATTTGAAAGTGGAGAAGGTGACTTGATTAATTTGAATGCTCCTATCTAAAGCGAGATATATAAGCTCGCATTTTGGTTTGCAATCATATTGCAATGTCAATTATCATCAATTTGTTATATTTTCCTATGCCTTTCAAGTTTATTTCAATCATGCAAGCATTCTTGATGTTTCCTAGGGAAGTAAGCAATTTGTATTGGATAATTTCTCATTACTCAGAATTGGGACAATCTCTATCGGATTTTGGGAAGGCTGCTAAGTTACTTAGTGCTTGCAAATCAAATGGTCTTGGGAAAGTACTAACCGAGATTGGTGCTAAATCGGAGGCATTATCAATCCGGCTACAAAAGGAGGCAAGTCTTTGAGTTGACGTTGAGTTCATCTTTGGTATGATGTAGCTATGGAGTATGTTGTCAGAAAGAAAACTGTACTCTTGATATCAGTTAAAGTTTGAAGCTGGTTGAGTTCAAACCATCTATCTATAGCTATGGAGTATGTTGTTGGCGAAAAGTTGTGCACTGTATTGTCAGAAAGAAAAAAGCAATCAATGGTGAACATAGGGAATTTGCTCTTATTTGCTCTTATTTTCATTTTTGTGCTTTGGGCGCTGAATTTGGTTGTCCTTAGAATTAATATGTGTTTTTAGATTGTAAAATTAATGCTAAAACCTTGATTTTCTTAATCGCTTCATCAGCTGCAAAACCACGTCAGCGATGAACTTGGTTAGAGGATAAGGGTTGTTCACCAGCTTGTTTGTTAGATGGTATGTTTTGACACACTTTTTGTGTTACCTAGTCATGTTAGTTTTTGAAATCCAACATATCTATGTTTGTGTTTGTTTACACCTAAAATTAATTCGGCCGGGATTAAATGCCGCATTAATTAGTCTCGACATTTAATTCGATATCGTAGGTAAAAAACGTTGTCGTTTGGAGTCGAGCGGTATCGCGGGAAGTTACACCCGAAACAGAAAAACGGTACCGCAAGGAAGCTCAGCGGTACCGCAACACCGGAAACGACACCGCTGCCGAAAATAAAAAAGGGCCGCGCGTTTAATGAAGGTTGGAGGAGGAGTTTTGATTATTTAATTATTATTTATATTCCTTGTTGGATAGGGATAAGCGGCACCGCGGAGAGCTAAAACGGTGCCGCGGAATTAAAAACGGTACCGCGAGGAAGCCCAACGGTACCGCTATACTAGCAAACGACAGTGTTTAATAATAAACAGTGTCGCGGAAGAAAAAAAAACAACAAACGGAGATGGTTGGGAAAGAAAACGACACCGCAAGGCTGGAAGCGGAGTCGTTTAATATTAAAACGATGTCGCGGGTAGAATCAAGCGGAGCTGTTTGGGAAAGGAAGCGACATCGCGGGATCATGAAAACAACTCACGTAAAGTTCACGTGAAGCAGTTTGAGGAGCGAAGCGGTTGAGACACGTGGGATTTCAGGACGGGGCAGTTGAGGAAGCAGTTCTACAGAGCGTGAAGACTACGAAGTTGGTTTTAGATAAAATCAACCCTGCAAGGAGAGAGGAAAGAGAACCAAAAATCAACACAAAACAACTCTGTCAAACTTATCTTTTTCTCTGTAACTCCTTCGCGGAGCTCTCCTTCCAGGAAGGATCTCCATAGTCATAGTCGTAGCGTAGTCGCGGAGCTCTCCACAGGAATCTCCATAGGAGTAGTTGTAGCGTAGATTCTTCAAAAACTCAAACACCCTCGTTCGAACGTAGTTTGGAGAGGTGTGAACCGTAGTCACAGTCGTCTTGATTAGAAGTCAGTGGCGCATCAATTCGATCAAATCAACATCGTCGTTTGGCACGCCGGCGGTGGTATTTGGTCAGAAGATAGTGGTGCATCCGTTCAATCGGCACCGCAAGAGTTTCCACCGTGAAATATCAAATCAACATCGCCGGGAACGAATTCGGCACCGGCGGTGGCATTTGATTTTTCCGAGGAAACAGTGTTCATTCTTTGTTTCCTTTTAGGGTTTTAGTTTATGCTCAAACGTTGGTTTTCTAAATGAATTCGTCTGCTGCAAAAGCCATGACTACAACTTGCCAAGGGAGAAGGGTTGTCCACTGGTTGATTTGTTAGAAGGTGAGCTTCTATGCTCTGTTAGTGTTACCCATAAACCTTGATTTTTGAAGATGAAGGAAGAAGATGGCGAGTTCCTGTAATCAGATTCTTCCATTTATTCTTGGACAAGCACATTCTTTGTTTAGTTTCTGCTGTTGAACAACTCTTTGTTTACAATGGTTAGTGATTTTAGAGATTATTAACTGCTCTTTTATAAACAAAAAGATCAAAGTATGTCGTCAACTATACTTTCTGCATGAGATTTGAAGACATATACAGTGTTATTATAATGAGTTCCATTTAAATTCCACTCCAGGGGCTATTGTATATGTTTGGAAGGTGAGTTTTCTATATCTTTTTTTTATATTACTAGGTGGCAAAATCGCGCCTTGTCGCGGGCGGAGATGGTATATGGGCATGCATGTATTATGTGACCCGTTATGGTGTTTGTTTGTATTATTAGTCTAAAATTAATTTTTTGTTAGCAGTTTTGTTAGTAATATTGACTTCACAATACGATATTAATTGAGAAGAGATATATGGCGGTCAACATTAAATTTGTTTTTATTTTTATTTTTGGCTAATAAATAATATTTACCTAAACCCAAGTAGACCCATTGATTATGGGTAGGGTATGGGTGACGTATATATGAGTTTGAAAGTTTGTAGATGAGTTTGGGTAGGATATGAATATGTACTTACATAAACATAACCTAAATGTGTATGAGTTGGGTATGGATACCCATTTATTCGAGGGTGTTTTAATTACACATACAAAAATTAGACATATTTGTAGAACTTCAAAAGTTTAGGCACCAAAATGTCATACACAAAAATTTTAGATACTAAAATGTAATGTTCAAACAATATTTGGGGACTTATGTGCCAAAAAAATAAATTTAGGTTATAAATCTAAAGATCTATTAAGTTTAGATATCGAACTATAATTTGTATATTTGAGCCTTAATTCCTTTATGGTGATGTATTTAAGATGATAATAATTTCCTTTTTTTATATAAAAATGGAAAATATTATTTGATAAATGTAGATACCTAGCCAAACATTCCATATATAATTGTCGAAAATTCCAGCTCGGGTGAAAAAGAAAAATTTTAGGGAGAAGCAAAATGAATACAGTTGAGTGATACAACATCTTGTATGATACAAACTAAATTGATATCCTAAAATTTAAAAAAATTTATAGTTACGAAAAATCTCACAAAATTTAGATAACGTAACATAATTGTTCAATACTTTTACATTAAAACTAAATTTGGGGTATTAAAATGTAAAATGTAACTAAGTTGTAATTAATTAAATTTGGGTATGAAAATGTAAAAATGATAGTTGCCCAATCAGCTTATGAGATTAGGCAACAGTAACTCAACTTGATCTTTATATATATATTAAATATCTTGCTATTTTTCTTTGTTTACAGGTGGTCTTCCAAAACCAAGAACATAGCTTGCTTCTTGGTTTCTACATGGTTAATGTTGTTTCCTAAGTCAAAAGGTAATTTAATGGATATCTTGATGATGATTTCAACCTAAGCTTCTTCATTAGATTGCAGGAATATGGTATTGTTGGATCTCTGAAGTACTATACTTCAGTTAAACTTTACCGTGCAAAACTTCTACTATTTTTTTCAGTGAACCACTTATAATAACTTTCGAATATCTCTTTACTTTTGTTCAATTAACCACCTATTGTTCGAATGAATGTTGTATCGACTGGTAAACAAAAGTTAGATAAATTTGACGACATCTCTCCATAGTAGTACTACTCACATATTCGTGGACAAGAACAATATAGATTTGAATTATAGCTCTAGTGACAGTTTTGATTCCTATTTACTCCGTAAATTTATAAGCATAGTTGTAACTTTTCATTAACCACAAAGCGTAAGCAAACTGGTTTGTCACTAGTAATTATAATTTTTTGATATTTTGACTAGAATGTGAATTAAACCCCAAAACTTTGTCGGAAAAGACAGTTTAAATTAAATTTCTTCCATTAAAGGAAACACCCCCACAAAATATGGATCGTTTGGTTTTGTTGATACTTAAATTAATACATTATGGTGAATGCATGCATTGTAATATACATGCTATTAATTATCCTTTTGGTCTCGGAATAAAGAGCAAGTAGAAGGAAATGAACTCTATACAAAATAAGAAGGGCAGTGCAGTAATCATTATTATTAGGTTGGCCAACCAAGTCCTTGATATCTCAAACACTCTCCTCCCTCCCCAACCCCACAACTCTTTTCCCAAACCATCCAACAACCACGTGGGTCCCGCCGCCAGACGATTACTTGAAGATCAATTTCGACACTGCTGTTTGTGCCACCGGGTGTTCATCTGGACTTGTAGTTGTTGTCCTTGGGTCAAACGGACATGTGGTGTTGGCGTTTAGGTTGCAACTTCAAAGAATAGTCAACCCTTCCCTGGCAGAGCTCCTAGCCTCCTAGCCATTAGAGACGCTATTTCCATCATCACTTGAAGATCTTTGACTCACGTGATAGTCAAAGGTGATTCCGAAGTGGTCGTCAAGCGGATCCGGCAAGGCTTCATAGAAGACTCGATTGGTGGTCCGGTGCTACGAGAGTGTCGTCAGATCCTTAGCTCTTTGTCCATTTGTATAGAGTTTAGGGCGATACCTAGAATTGCCAACAGTGCTGCCCATAGAGTGGCGTGTAAATCACTGCTTTTGTCTCGTCTAGAGTTAGAATATTTCGATTTTTTGGGTGGCTTCATTATAATATATTGTAAAGAGTCCTAGATAGATTAGTATGAATAACTCTTATCCTCTGTTGATTTCACTCAGAAGTTAAAAAAAAAAAAAACAACACCAGGCCCAGCTCGCACCATTATCTTCAAGTCAAAATTACCAGACGAGCGTCGCATAAACTGAAACCCGAAAAGAAAAAGAGAAAAGCAAAGCCAAAGCAGAGAAGAAGAAGAAACAGCAAACGGGAGAGAGAGGACTAAAGAGGAGCCACCGCACCGCCTCCGAGCCAGCAGCTCCCAGCCGTTCTTCATTCCTCCAGCTGGGACTGGGAGAGATTGAATGATAAAAGCTCCCACAAATCAATCTCATTTCCTAGCTAGCTCCCACATCCATCTGTGACTCTATCCCCTACAAAGTTCATCCGTAATGCCGGATCTCCCACTACTCATCTTCCTCACCGCCAACGTCTTGTTTCTCATCTCCACCGCCGCAGCAGATGACTCCGCCGCCATGCTCAAGCTTGCCGCCGCCCTCTCCCCAACTCCCACCGGCTGGTCCACCACCTCCTCCTCCTCCTACTGCAACTGGGAAGGTATAAAGTGTGACTCCTCAAATCGAGTCATCTCCATTAACCTCGCTAAACAAGGCATATCGGGCACCCTCCCGGATGAGCTTTCCACCTTAACCCAGCTCCAAACTCTCTCCCTCCAACAAAACCTGCTCTCTGGCTCCATCCCAAGCTTACCCAACCTCTCATTCCTCCAGCAGCTCTACCTTAGTTCCAACAACTTCACTTCCATTCCACCCACTTTCTTTCATGGCCTCACCAGTCTCCAGATCTTCTCCATCAGCGACAACCTCGACCTCTCCCCATGGCCAATCCCTCTCGATCTCAATCAGTCCTCATCTCTCACCACCTTCGAAGCCAGCAATGCCCAAATCTCCGGCCCAATCCCTGACATCTTCTCTTCCCTTCCCTCCCTGCAAAACCTCAGGCTTTCTTACAACAACCTCACTTCTTCCCTCCCAAATTCCTTCTCCAGCTCCGGGATTCAGAATCTCTGGCTCAATAATCAGCTCATGGGTCTCTCTGGCCCAATCGATGTGCTCTCCTCCATGGCTTCTTTGAAACAGGTATGGCTCCACAAGAACCAATTTACAGGACCCATCCCCGATTTGTCCAAATGCGAGAATCTTTTCGACTTGCAGCTCCGTGATAACCAGTTCACCGGCGTTATCCCGCCGGGCATCCTTTCCCTCCCTGCCCTGCTCAACATTTCACTCTCCAACAACAAACTCCAGGGCCCTAAGCCCAAGTTCGCTGACGGGGTGAAAGTGGACGATAACGACATCAACAACTACTGCCTTCCGACCCCTGGCATCGATTGCGATCCCCAGGTCAATACTCTCCTCCAGGTTGCCGCAGGGTTCGGGTACCCGGTTTCCCTGTCGGATTCTTGGACAGGGAACGACGCCTGTGGGGATTGGGCCTTCGTCATTTGCGACTCCCAGAAAAAAGTTAGCACTGTCAATTTAGGGAAGCAGCGACTCGGTGGAATCATTTCCCCTGCTTTCTCCAACCTCACTGCTTTGAAGAACTTGTACCTCAACGACGACAATCTCTCCGGGTCAATCCCAGACTCCCTCTCCAAGTTGACTCAGCTCCGAATTCTTGACGTCTCTAACAACAACCTCTCAGGTATAGTCCCCCCCGCTCTCACTTCCTCCTCCGCGCTTAAGTTCATAACCCAGCCTGGAAATGCGCTGCTTGGGACGGATGTTCCGGGCCCTGATGGATCGAGTTCCCCGTCTGGCGCCAACTCCACCAACACGGACAGATCAAGCGGCGGAGGCGGCAAAAGCAAGGCCTCTCCCGGTATGATTGCCGGCGTGCTCATTGCCGTGATTGTATTCGTTGCTCTTGTCCTCTTTGTGCTGTTCAAGTGCATTGTCATGAAGAAGAAGAAAATACGGGTGAAATCCGAGGGATTGAATAAAGACTCAGAGACTGGAGTTCTAGCTGCCAACAAGAGCAATGGAGCAGCAAGCTGCTGCACAAACGGCTATGGAACTCTGAGCGAGATGCAGAGCCAGAGCAGCGGGACACACAGTGATCGCCACCTGTTTGAAGGTGGTAACGTTGTGATCTCGATCGAGGTTCTCCGGCAAGTAACAGACAACTTCAGCGAGGCCAACATTCTCGGTCAAGGAGGGTTCGGGGTAGTCTACAAAGGTGAGCTTCACGACGGGACTAAAATTGCTGTGAAGAGGATGGAATCATCAGCAATGGGTACCAAGGGATTGAATGAGTTTCAGGCGGAGATTGGTGTGTTGACCAAAGTCAGGCATAGGCATCTTGTTGCCCTATTGGGATACTGCATCAATGGCCACGAGAGGCTGCTTGTTTACGAGTACATTCCTCAGGGAACTCTGGCGCAGCATTTGTTTGAGTGGAGAGAACGTGGTTCGCCTCCTCTTAATTGGAAGCAGAGGATCACCATTGCATTGGATGTTGCGAGAGGGGTGGAGTACTTGCACAGCTTGGCTCAGCAGAGCTTCATTCACAGAGATTTGAAGCCTTCAAACATACTTCTGGGGGATGATATGAGGGCCAAGGTTGCTGATTTCGGTTTGGTTAAGAATGCACCCGATGGGAAGTATTCCTTGGAGACTAGATTGGCTGGCACTTTTGGTTATCTTGCTCCTGAGTATGCGGGTAAGAATCTTACATACTCTTCTTGGGTTGGGGTTTATTTGATCCAGCTTGGTTTGTCGATGTGTTTGTCTGAGGATAACTAACTGCCGTATAATATTGCAAATGATTTGCAATTCGTGTAGAAGCACATTTACCTTGCAGATGTTAGTAGGTCTGAGTTGAGTTTCATTTCTCAGTCTCATATGTCTTTGGTTCATCCGGTTTAATCCCTCCCTGTTGTTTTAATGGTATCAGCGACCGGGCGAGTGACGAGAAAGGTGGATGTGTACGCGTTCGGAGTGATCTTGATGGAGATAGTAACGGGGAGGAAAGCATTGGACGACGATCTACCAGATGAGCGGTCCCACTTGGTGACGTGGTTCAGGAGACTGATGATCAACAAGGAGAGCATCCCCAAAGCCATTGACGAGGCATTGAACCCAGACGATGAGGAGACATTGGGCAGCATACTCAAGGTGGCGGAGCTCGCAGGGCACTGCACAGCAAGGGAGCCCCAGCAGAGGCCTGACATGGGCCATGCCGTCAACATATTAGGCCCGCTGGTGGAGCAGTGGAAGCCAAGTAGTCAAGAGGAGGAGGAAGAGAACTGTGGCGGCATCGATATGCACATGAGCCTCCCTCAGTTCCTGCAGAGATGGCAAGCAGATGAAGGTACTTCGACCATGTATTCTCGTAGCGATATTGGGTCTTCGTTGGTTCACGACGGGCAATCTCACTCCAGCATTCCTGGGGGATTTCCGGACACGTTTACGTCCACTGATTGCCGATGAGATGGGATGGCTCTCGGTCGGTTTTTGGTGTTGGTTATCTGGTGTCTCTATCATCTTCATTCAATTCATTTTCTTCCGTTATTAATTATATATACATATTCACAGTTTGTTGTTTTTCTCCCACGTTAACTACAAATTAATACATGTGTGTGTATGTACAAACATGAGGTCGTACTACTGCTCAGACTATGCTGTTATTGTTGGCCGGCTGAATGCCCAAATTTTGGAGAGATGGTCAAATGTATAACAGGCAGCGTGTTCTCATTTGGATCCTTCTCATTCATGTCTGTGTTAAAATGTAAATCAGCGATCGAGGCGCTGCGCTATTATACTTTAATTCATTACAAAAATTATGTCTGCATGTGCCTGCCTGCTGCCCAGTGGAATGGATCGATTGTCCCATTGGTGTTTTGTGGTAGCGTGCGGCCCATTGGTGGGTGTTTTTACAGCTCGAGAGATTCCTTCTTTCTTTATATAAATAAATGGTCGCGATCAGTGGAGGTGTGGTGGCAATGATAATGTTTGGTCGAAATAGTGTGTTGCAAAGTCGTATCGTATTGCAGTCCAACCAGAAATTTTTTGCAAGCTGTTGGTGGGTCCCATTGTATTATTTAGGGATTTTTGCAGCTGGACTGGAGTCTGGAAGCCAAACACTGCTGCGTCAGTTATGTATGTTTTACTTCCTCCATTGTAGGATCGCACCGCACAGACGGACGATTGACAGGCCAGCCCGCCCTTGATTGGTTTTTTTTTTTTATATAGAAACCTGCTAACTTATATACGAGAAGTTACATCATCACGAATCAAGTGATCAACTAGATAAATTGGTGGTCTATGAAGCCAGACAATCCGTTCATCCTATCTCGTATCTGCATGTGCTGCTTGATTTGCCTCTCGGTAAATAAACCGCCAGCTGTTGTTGTTTGCCTCATCAAGCATCCGTCTCACATTTCGGCATAGAACGCCGATCTCCGTCTGCACTAAGTGTGGGTTTTGGATGAACCGGATGGTCTTTTGGCTATCCGTCTCAAGTATGATGGGCTCATAGTGCATCTGCCTCGAAAGTTGGACTCCCATTTCAGCAGCTAACACTTCCGCCTGATCTACACTACACTCCCCTCGGACCTTCTTTGCTGCTGCTGCCAAAAAACGTCCTACATCATCCCTTACAACCACCCCCAAGCCTGCTCCTCCGCCCGCCAGAATGCTAGCATCCGTAGCTACTGAAACACAACCTGGACATGGTCTTTTCCATTTCTTCTCAAATTGGCCCTCTCCCATTTCTCTAATAGCTTCTTCGCTACTATGATGATCCTTGTAGTTACGCAAGAAGTAATGGACTCGAACAAAAATCTCATCTTCCGGGTTCTTATAGTCGTTGAAGAGCTGAGCATTTCGTTCTTTCCACATGAACCACAACAACGTGCACCATTCCTCCACCACATCCTCTCCCATCCGCTGCATAACCTGTCTTGTCCATTCGAAGCAATCACCTTCACCCCTCGCTTCAAAACAGTCTCGCAACGCCGTAGGGCACCATATGCGGGCCGTCCAGCTGCATTCTCCGAATAGGTGAACCTGAGTTTCTTTGATATCGCAGAACGGGTAGCGGTCACTCCACTTCCTACTCCGGGTACTAACATGATCCCCCGTCGGCAAAGCGTCTCTCATAAATCACCACATGAACTGTTTTATCTTTGGAGGAACCTTCATAGCTCACATTTGTCTCCATGTTTCTCTCTCACCAACCGCACTGAGACCCTTGGCCTTCAATTCGCTCTCGAGCCATACTCTGTATGCGTCTCGAACCACATAATCTCCTGACTCACTATGTCGCCACACCATCCGATCAGCCTCAACACCTCCGCGCAAAGGAATCTGGATAATGGCCCTCGACACCGTCTCCGGGAAGCAGCTGTCAATTAGAGGAGCATTGTCACACCCTTTTTTTTTCTAAGCCGAAATGACGATTATGCCCTTGGTCCAAATTTGTCAAATTTCACCGTAATGTCGAGGAGGACTAAAAAGGTGAATTATCGGTTCAAGCGGTGTCGAATTTCGACATAAAATGAGAAAGTTACGGACATTAATTGAGTTTCGGATTAAACTCACCCGCAAGTGCGAATTTCCGCTAATAACCTTGGACTAACTAAAACCCTAGACCGCTACCCCACTCGGCCTCACCACTAAACTAATTAAACCCTCAAGTTAATTCAGCACGCGATGAAAATCCCTTAGGAAAGAAACTGGCAGAGCAACTAATTTCTCCCCGGCAGCTCTCGCCCAAAGCCGCGCCGCCACCTCCTTCGATCGCGATCCGTGTCCTTCCTCTTCCCGGGAAAAATTTCCGCATGATTGACGCCATTGGTCCCATGAAGATGAAGTCAAAGTAACGAATGGAGAGAGGGATTGAGAGGCGGCGTGGATGGCGTTATCTTGACTTAGCAGAGAGAGGCGGAAGGCAATTGCTATGGACGAGGGAGATTAATGGTCAAAGGAGCAGTCGGCGCCAACGTGGAGAAGCAGAGGTACGATCCTTGTGAAGTTTATTAGTTGTTCCATAAATTGAGGAGAAGGGGTATTCTTATTGTTGAAGTTGTGATGCTTTCCATGTTCGGTTCGCTAAATTGGGTGGACAACCACAAATTAGAAAGATGTTGGCCCATCTCGTATCTCCATGTGCCATACATGTGGTGCTTGATTTGCCTCTCGTTAGCAGAGGCAGACTGCAAGAAGAGGCAAGGCGATGCGAGCAGCTGCACCAGCATTGATGAGAAGTCAAGGAACTCGTGAAGAGTTAGAGCTAGAATAGTTTAATTTCCTTGTTACATGGTTAGGATTGTAAACTAGAGATCCTGAGTTCTTTCATTTTAAGTATTGGGATTGTCATTTGCCCAAGTGTTCAGTCTTTTTGTTTGAAATTCTTAAACATTGTCGGTTTATTTATTTTAAAAAGTTGTTTGGGTTTCTCCGGAGTAACCGGTTTGTGGTTTGGTTTTCAAAAAGGATCGGGTCGTGTCAAGCATCCCAGGCTTCGGTCTCCGGGTCAATGAGCTCCCGAACAATAGCGTCCACCGGCAGCCCCATCGGCAGTGAGGTAACGTACATCTCCGGGATGGTGGGGATCCATTTGTCGCCCCAGATCTTCACTTGCGTACCGTTACCAATCCTCTAGCGCAAACCGTTACATAAAAATTCCTGAGCACTCATCAAGGATCTCCAAATGAAGCTCGGATTATGGCCACAGTGGGCATCCAAAATGGATCCATTTTTGTGGTATTTGGCCTTTATAATCCTCGCCACCAAGGAGTCTTCCCTCTGGTGTAACCGCCATAGTTGCTTAGCAAGTAGGGATGAATTGAAACCTTTAAGATCACGAAATCCCATCCCTCCATCTTCTTTGCTCTGTGTTAGTACTGTTTTCCCCGCCCAGTGGGCGCACTGCTCCACTCCACGTTGCCCCCCACGAGAAATTGGTGATCAGGCTATTAATCTCATCCAGCACACCCTCAGGTAATCGGAACACTGACATAGCGTAATTGATCTGAGCCTGAGCTACAGACTTTATCAGCACTTCTCTGGCCGCCGAAGACATGGTTCTCTCCTTCCACCCTTTTAATTTCTTCCGGATCCGCTCTTATCTTAGCAAAAAGAGCCTTCTTTGATCTCCCTGCTTCCGTCGTCAGTCCCAAGTATTTTCGTGCTTTACTACACACTTCATACCCAACACGCCTCCTATCTCCAGCCGCCGGTGAGTCTTAACATTAGAGGTGAAGGAGATCTCCGACTTTTGGAAGTTAACGAGCTGCCTCGATTCCTTTTCATAGTCGTTTAAGATGCGTTTCAGCTCCATACTCTCCTGTGTTGTGGTCCTGAAAAAGAACACACTATCGTCAGCAAAAAATAGGTGTGACACCACTGGGCCCCTTTGAGCCGGCTTGAAGCCATGAATTCCCCCTACTGCAACCGCCTTGTCCGTGTACGCTGATAGACCTTCCGCGCACAGGAGGAACAGATACTGTGATAGCGGGTCTCCTTGTCTCAGCCCCCTCTCAGGAGTAAAGACTTCCGAACTGTGTCCATTCACTAACACAACATAGGAAACGGACTTTACACACATCATGATACGGTTCACCCATTGATCAGTAAACCCCAGCTTCATCATCACCTCTTCCAGGAAACTCCATTCCACCCTATCGTAAGCTTTGGCCATATCAATCTTTGCCGCAGCAATTCCTACCTTCCCTTTTTTCCTTTTCTTCATTGTGTGGAAGCATTCAAAAGCTGCCATAATATTGTCAGTAATCACCCTTCCTGGGACGAAAGCGCTCTGCGCTGGGGAGATAATCCTGTAGAGTATATTCTTGAGCATATTCGCAAGTACCTTGGCTACTATCTTATACAGGACATTACAGAGAATGATCGGCCGAAACTCCATAGGAGTCCGTTGGAGTCTTTACTTGTAGTATCAATGCTATAAGTGTATGATTCAGACCTTCCCGAATTTGCCCATGCTGTATGATGCCAATAACCGTAGCTGCCACATCATCACCCACTATTTTCCAATATTTCTTAAAGAATAAAGTCGAGAACCCATCCGCTCCTGCCGCCTTCCGTGCACCCATCTGTTTGAGCGCCTCGTACACCTCCTCCCTCGTCACCGGAAGCATCAATTCCACATTGTCAACATTAGTAACCTTCTTCGCCAGAGAGTCGACTCTACTGTCACCCTAGGAACCGGGTCCTAGATTTGCTGACTACTCAGTGAATTCGTATTATCTAGCAATGAAACTTTAGTGAAGTTCTAAACTAACAAGCAAGCAAAGCAACTAAACGTTTGTATTCAGGTTAAGAGAGGTCACCCGGATATGGTTCCCCCTAGTCTGCAGTTAAGCCGGGTTGTAATTACCAAGTTCAATTTCTATGAAAGTTATACTGCGGAAGGTTCTCAAACAGCCTGAAGTCTCGACTAAAGGTCTTCAGACCCTCTCAATCTGAGTCTCTAGCTGGCGACTAACCTACACCGGAGTAAACAGATTGAGGCCCTAAGAACAAAACCTCCACTACCGAATGCAATTCGGTACAGAATAGTGATTGGTTCCTCGACTAAAGTCACCAATTCACTACCTTCAATTAAGGATACTCTATTAACCTAGGCAAATATTATCATTCTAGGTTAAAGCAGAAACAACAGGAATTTGACCAGGATTCAAGTCATTCAATCATTCAAACCTCAATCGAATATAATCAATATCATAGAATCAATACTTGGGTTCATACAATCAAACCTAACATACAGAACTAGGGTTTCCCATACCCAGATGAATGGGGGAACTACTCCATGGAGAGAGAAGCAAAAGC